AAACAGAATTAACTTTTAGGTAAATTAAAAAGATCCTTGATGATGCCATTAGGGAGCAGCTCCAAAATCAATTTCGAACTTTGATCGCAGATCAGATTGCAACCTTATCGAACCAAAGAATGTCCACTGCTCATTTTAACATCACCTCCCCTTTCATTACTTAATGGCACTGGAGCATTTATTTTTTTTACATTAATTTACGCGACAAAACGATCACTTAACCGCCGAAAGCCCAATATATAATATTCCGCTCACAATTATCTGCACATTGTTGCCATCATTCAGGCGGCTTTTCAATTTGGCCATCCATTAGCTTTTATTGATTTTCGAGCAACATTTTTCTAATTTGCAGCCCCAAAAGCAATGCTAAAAAGACGGCCAGCAAAAGGGGGAACGGGGGAAGGGGGCCATAACGAAGAGATGTTGGCCAACCTTGGTGGCAAATATCGACTGCTTGGGTGGTCCAACATCGACGGGAGCAGCAGCCATCAAGAGCAAAGTGAAGTGCTCCGAACGTTCGCCTCAAAAATCAACTCAATTCACCGGCATGTAAAGCAAATGAGGCGCGTTTTATGCAAAAAGAAAACGAACCACAACGAAAACGAAATGAGAAAAATAAAAGGAAAAACCAAAATGTAAAAAACGAATATCAAAGTAAAACAAATATCGCCAGATCGAATTTCTATATACTCTTTATGAAAGCCAAAGAATTTAGCATTTACGCAATACATTATTTTTAGATGCTATTATTTTATTAACTAAATATGAGCATTGGTAATGGATATCTCTAGATTGGTTTATAAGTTGCCCACTTCATCTGTTCATCTGTAACCAGAATAGCTTTGATTTCTTGGCCTTTTATTAATTAACAAATATTGCCCTTGTTGAGAAACTCCCTTTGAGAGGGTATAAAACAGATTGAAAACAAGTTGGCCATCGAGATCGGGACCATCAACTGAGCGAAGTGATGGCTATCGATCAACGCGCGGTTCTGGCTGAGAGTCGTTGCTGCTGATTTTGGACTCCAAGTCCTCCTGATTGCATTCGATGGACCATTGTAGCATAATCCCTCACCGATCTGGAAGATCGGGATCCAAAAAACAAAAAAACGAAAATAAAAACAGTTACAGAACCGCGCGCGGACTAATAACAAACAATTAGTAACTATCAGCACTGGCATTAACGATTCTCTGGACTTTCGGGTCGGGACTTACGATGTGGGTCAGCCAGCAGCCCATTTATTTGGTTGCTAAGCTCAAAATGAAACAATGTTGCCTACACAGAAGAAAAACAGCTTGATATTTTAATAATAATAATAATAATTGCTTTACTTGACAAATTTAAAGTATGTTTTAAAGGTGAATTAATTATGTAACGACAATGATGCAGTGTGATTAAAGGGATAACAAAAATTATAAATAAATCGTTTTCAAAATTTCCTTCTGTGTATCAAGAGCCCAAAAAAATGGAGAAACATTAAATTACACCACTTTCTTTGGTGAAGGATTCTACGTGCGGTGGGTCCTGGTTGCTTTCGTCCTTAATTAGTAGTCCTCTTAGGAGATACAGATCGTTCGAGCAGCGCGCGTGTCCCTTTTTTCCAGTGGCTTCTGTGCATCAATTAGTAGCCGCTTTTCCTTAACCCCCAACTCCTCTGGTCGTCAAGGGTTAAGCGTTGTCAACTGCTGCGGTAGGTGAAAGTCGTTAAATCCCGAGGACATTAGTTATGCTCGTAAAAGATTGCGTGTTGGTCACTGGCGGATCAGCAGCATCCTTCGGAGGATCCTTCGAAGGATCAGTAGCTACTTTAGTAGTTGAGTAACGTTCCAATGTGATTTCCGATAACATCACTTGAGCGAAAGTTATAACATGGTTTTATCCTGCGGGTCACCTTTTTCCCGACCTGCGTGTGTTCTTTATCAGTGAAAACAAATTTCTCTAGATATGGTTTACTAATTGTTGAAATGACTCACAAGGAAACTACGAAAAGAAAGGTAGCTGATCTAAGTAGGAAAAGGTAGTAAAATGCCAACAAAGTTGACATCGTATTATTGTCCCTCAGCGACTTCTAGATTTGCCTTGGAATATTTAAATTCGTTTTTACAACCGAACCAAACTTCAATCGATCGAGGAAGCGCTCATAAATAAGCCACAACTGGGCAGGCCACCTCAATATCATTGCCAAACCATCTCCACCGCCCAAAGAATCCCCCGAAATCCCCGTTTAAACCCACCACCACCCAACCAGAATCCAAACACAAGTCATTGGGCAAAGCAAATAAAATTATCTCATTACAAATTATGCCCCCAATGCCCGAGTGGATTGAGGAGGTGGATACCGAATCCGAATTCGAATGCGAACCCAAGCCAAACGAGAGTTGGGTTACTCAGAGGATGAGGACTCTGAGGAGCACGAGAGCAGACGCTAAATAGATTATGTCAAATGATCGAAATCACATCATAAATTCACGTGGAGGATGAAGTGCAGCCGCGGGCGGCGGAATAAACGCATCCAAAATCAAATAAGCCAGGGAGGTGCAGTTGTGGGCGTGATTTTAACCTCCGACGGGGCCCCCTTTAACCCTTCTGGTGCCCCGGTGTAGCACTCTTTAACACGTTTTTAAATGGAATGGATGCGGCGAGCCTCCCAATTGCCCGGCATCGATTATTGTTTTGCATGTGGCCGAAACTGAAACCGATATGGGTTCCCCATTTCCCCGCTTCCCCACTCGAACCCCCTTAACCCCCTTAACCCCCTTAACCCCCTCTTGCCTACGGCGCTTTAAAGCTGCTCCTTCGATCTCCGTGAAGTCTCGAATCCCAACAACTGATAACGCATTACGAGAACCACCTCGAAAACTCCAAGGAGGTGCAGAAGTTTTAGCGAAAACAATAAAATATTGAGCGGGCTGCACAATAAATTCAATGCCTAAGTACAGAGGCACTCGGGGATTAAACGGGGGATTGGGGTATTGGGGATTGGGAATCTGCGATCGGGGATTGGGGATTGGGGATTGGTGGACTCCCTCACACTTTGCGTGCAAAAATCGATCAGCGCGAAATGAAATTGAAGTTAAAACGCAGCGCCCTGAGGTCCGAGAGCCATATAGCATCCCAAGATATATATCTCCAACCAAGTTCCAGCCAACAGAGCCAAAAGTCTGCACCCACTCCAAGAACATTTCACTTAGCGAAAGGTGGGGAGACTTTTAAATTTCTTACTTAATTGCTATTTTATTATAAAAAGTTATGCAGCATTCAATAAATTCCCAAACATTTAAAATACTTTTTTGAAAAATAAAAAGCCTAGTTAAAGGATTCCACTTAAAAGCCTGGAATTGAGCCCTCATTTCTTGCAGTGTAACCCCAGTTCACAGCGGGCCAATGACTTCCTCGAGCTTCTCCAGTCGGCATTTGCGTGTGAAACTCCTTTGAAATTGGATAGACCCGAAAAGCCGGTGGTAAAAGTCAAAGAAATATCTGGAGAAAGGACATTGTTCGGTTGACACATTTGGGCAAAGCGAAATCAATTTGCGAATGGTTCAGTGAATTTGTGATCGCCACCGTGCCAAGTAGCATAGTGTAAAAAATGCATTTGCCTTGGCACACAAACTCATCATCGATTTTTATTTTTTTTTTTTTTTCGGGACGGTATGCGGTACATTTCGCTTCGGGTGATAAATTTTCAATTTGTTTGACTTGAGCGCCCACGCAAAGGATCATCGATTGGTATATGTACAACGACGGCCAAAATAATAGTGTCTTAAGCATGATCAGAAAAGTACATGCCCAAGCATTTCGTAGGTGCTATTCTATCTGCCGCAACTGTATACATATAGAGTCGGCATAGGATCGGTTGGTAGCGAAACTAATCCAAGTTGACACTGCCGCACGGGCGACAAAGAGGCCCATTGCCCATTGTGTGTAGTGCAACATTAGGTCATGGCTAATCAAGTGAGTGGCCGGCACCTAGGAACTCAGATGTATATAGCACACCCTGTATATATACTACCCGCCGAGAGCCTCTGCTGTGACCTCTGACCTTTGTCGCCTTTCCCTGCATATATTAAAAACAATAACTCTTTGTTTCCCTCCTGGCTTTCTTCATTCATCTTTCGAACGTCTTGGTGGGTCCTGCCTTCAAGACATTACCTTAGGTCTCTAGTCCTGGTCAATCCATAATAATATATTTCCACACCCCTTGGAACAACCTGATATCTCCATTAGCAATGGACAGCCAGGCTAATTAACATTTCTTCAGTTCAGGTCCCGTAACAAATTTGCCGGACAGGAAGCGATTTCCATTTCAATTTGGGTACTAACTCATCTTCAAAATAAATCTATGGTTTATTAGGGATGCACATTTCTTATAATTAAAAGTTGCTTGCTAATGTCCTACTAGTAAAAAATATTCAATAACCCACATGTGAGGGCTACTGTTGATTAAATAAACATTGATCAAATGACGTATATGTAATTGTCGCCATGAAAATAAGCAGAGTTTCAGTATCCAAGGGAAAAATGTTTCCATTGAATATGTAATTTCCTCGAATTTTCAATTAGGATTAGGAGCTGAATTTTTTAGTGATCAACGCACATTGAATCATAACTTGATAACAAAATGATAGGAAAGTTAATGCCATTTATCGCAGTGAGTAAGTTAAATATTGAAATATATCTCTAGGGGAGGACTGATAAGAAAGGTGTGCTTAGGCATAAAACTATGTAGATACATAACTCTTTAGTTTAACAATTTAAATCTGAAGAATTTTATAATTTTAATCAAAAAATCTATGCAAAATGTAAAAAAGGGCTCAGCAGTTTCAGAATAATAATAATAATAAAATTGTCCATCTGAGAGATATAAAATATTTTGATTGATTATTGTACAATCGCGGGAATCGCACACGCGACATTGTTTCGTTATCGATAAGCTCCCCGTTTTTTTGTTGTTTAAAAGAACCTTCTTTATAAGAACCCCACTTGATGGCGGAAGCCCAGTTAGTCGCGTTTGCCACACGCTGTCGTGAACATGGCTCGTTGCCAACTGAAAGCGATGGCCCTTTTGGCCGGCATCCTCATCTGCATGGGCGTGGCCACCCAGGCCGCCCAGGCCGCCCTTCACCGTATTTCCGTTCAAAGAGCGCCGAACTTTAAGCGCACCCACAAGAACATCGTGGCCGAAAGGGATTTCGTTCAGCAGAAGTACAGACTGAACACCGCCAACGGGTATCCAGTGGAGCCGCTTTCCAACTACGATAATTTCCAGTACTACGGCAACATAAGCATCGGAACCCCGGCCCAATACTTCCTCGTACAGTTCGATACGGGCTCCTCGAACCTTTGGGTTCCGGCCAGTAATTGTTCGAGCACCGCGTGCTTGGATCACCAGACGTACAACCTAAGTCAGTCGAGTACTTTTGCGGCCAATGGAACCCCCTTCTCAATCACCTACGGAACTGGCAGTGTCTCTGGCTTTTTGGCCGCCGATAATGTGGGCTTTGCCGGTCTGACTGTGCAGGGCCAGACATTCGGTGCGGTGACCACGGAGCAGGGAACCAATTTCGTGGATGCCTACTTCGATGGCATACTGGGCATGGGATTTCCCGCCTTGGCCGCGGACGGAGTTACGCCGACGTTCCAGAATTTGGTGTCCCAGGGTCTCGTCCAGAGTCCCGTGTTCTCGTTCTTCCTGCGGGATAATGGCAGCACCGTGAACTATGGCGGGGAGCTCATCCTCGGCGGATCGGATCCCTCGCTCTATGTGGGCGGCCTCACCTACACGAATGTCATCCAGGCGGAATATTGGAAATTCCAGACGGATTACATCAAAATTGGGAGCACCATTGTGAGCACCTACGATGCGGCGATCGCGGATACCGGAACCTCCTTGATTATTGCTCCCCTGGCGGAATACACTCTAATCGCTGCCTTGTTCAATGCCAATTCCGATGGCCTATTTCAATGCACCAGCTTGAGTTCCGTTCCGGATCTGGTGATTGTTATTAACGCAGTGGAATTCAGGATCCCGGCCAAGTATTACATCATCCAGGAGGGTGACTATTGTGCGCTTTCCATTCAATCGATTAACCAGGACTTCTGGATCATGGGCGATGTATTCCTGGGTCGTTTCTACACCGAATTCGACGTGGGAAATCAGAGACTGGGATTTGCTCCCGTAAATTCAGCGGATTCTCTGAGGGGAACGGCCCTTTGGAAGATTTTGGTCGTTGTACTGCCTTGTGGCATGTGGAAGTTGATGAACTAATTTGCAGATTGGTTTTGAACGTTTTCCAAACTTTTTTTTCCTAAACATAGTATTTTATTGTAGTTTTTTGGGTCGCCATTCTTAGAACTAAGTATTTCTTGGGTGTATAAAGGAAATAAAAATAAAATGATATTTCAAATAAATTTTACATATTTAAATTAATCATATCATAAGAGTTTAAAATAACTAGCTTGTTTTTTTACAAAGGAACTGATTTCAATAAGAACATTGAGGAATATTGTTTTTATTTTTATTTTTGCTTCATATCTATGGACCTTGACCAAAACCATAAGTCATGTTGATATCAGTAACTATAGATAAAATTTTCGTTTCCACTATCTAAAGACCAGGAATTAAGTCAAACTGCGATTTATAACTGACCTAATTGAGTTGCAATTGGCGTTGGAGTCGAAAAGGGGTTAAGCTTTTCGGCAAAATACTCTTTGGGTCTGCAGGCCAATGCTTTTTTTTTTTAACTCCTCGCAGAGATCAGTGATCGCAAATTGTGCGGACCTAATTGGCCGTCGCGTGATTTATTGTGAAAAAAAAACAGAAAAAACTGAAGGTGCAGAAGGGGGCTATAAAAACAACTCGATTCGAAATTGGAACTCAAACTGAAGTGAAGTGAAGTGGAACTCAATGAGCGCATTATTTATGTGATGTTATTTTTTGTGCTTTAACCTGGGGATTAGGACTCGAGTCTCCCACACGAACGCTCCCGGTGGTCGATTTTCATCCAGATCATGACCTAATGCACCGGAAAGAAAAATATTTTGAAAAATAATAAAGTACATACTAACCTTTTAATAGTAAAGATTTAATTTTGTATTACTTTTATATTTAAACATTTTAAACACAAAAACGCACAGTGAGGCTTTTTAATGTTTCGCAATAACCTTTGCTTTTTTTTTGCAAGTGTATGCCCGGCGTTCTCTAATGAGCGATGCCGCGCTTAAAATTTATTGACCCGACAATTGCATCAACTGCCGACGCTCATCAAATACCAATAAAATATCATTTGTTGCAATTGCGTTTGGGGCTCGAACGGATCGGGTTCTTTATCGAGGGACCACCGGCATTTGACCCCCGCAAGAACACGGGCCAGAAGAAAGGTGAAGAGAGCGAAGAACCCCGGCCGAAGACGGGGCAATCTGTCTCATTAGCCGCAAAAGCTCCGCCTGATTTATGGCCCGATCGATCGTACGATCCTTGTTGTTTCGCTGTTGTTAGTCGGGCAGATAAATCACATTAAAATATTTCACAAGCGAAATCGGAATCCTCTGCCAAGTTGTTCGGCTGACAAATCTCTAAACGAAATCAGTTAACAACTTAACTAATGATAATCAATACGCATTTAAACAGCAAACAGGGCTTGAATATCGTACATCGATAGAGGGAAAACAACCGAGGCGAGGATCCCAGAAATAATCTTTGATAACGGCTTTGTCGCTTCGCACATCTGCAAATTGTTCAGGAGTCCAATACAAAATGTTAGTTTGTTCTTTAAGTATTGCAATCAGCAAGATTAAATCTTTGTAAAAAAAAACCATTTATAAAAACCAATTAATTTTTTTCTACATTTAAATATTGAAAATATTAAAACGTCAAGAAAGTCACAATTTGAAAAAAACTATTGTTAAATAACAAAAACAGAAAATGTGTGCATACATATGTATAATTTAATTGCACCTTTTATTATATTAAATTTACATAGCAGAAGCACGTAGATCTATTCTGTAAATAAGAGCGCAAAAGAGCGGAAGTCAAAAGCTAGCAAAAGTCTCCAAATTTATCATGCACACCAACGCAAAGACCCAAAAACTAAGTCGCTCTTATCCCATTCCTTCCTTTTTTTGGGGCGTTGCCAGTTAGTATTTTCTCAAAGTGCGCGTCGGTTGATCTTTTGTTCGGGGTCGGAAAATTCAATTAAACTAATTCAATTGCCAATAAAGTGCCCAAAAAGTTTATTAAATTGCGAGTGAATTGTTTTGCTGCAAGTCAACTAACATTTTAGATTGCGGGTTCTGCATTTAATGGTTGTTATCCGCTTTTTATTTGGGGAAAAAAAATGCAAATTAAATGTAAATGAGACAAAAACAATTCACAAATGTCCCTTAAGTTATTCTTGCTTTTTGATTTCCGCAAGTCTAAATATATATGTATGTATGCATAACTGCCCACCCGCTCCAATAAAAACTGCCTTAAAGTCAATTGCCTATTTCCCCATTCCACCTGTCATTTTGATGGTTACCCATTTTGTCTGCGTATTACAAGTATTACGTGGCATTAGCACGTAGATCTATTACGTAAATAAGAGCGCAAAAGAGCGGAAGTCAAAAGCTAGCAAAAGTCTCCAAAATGCTTACGCACACCAACGAAAGTGCCAAAAACTAAGTCGCTCTTATCCCATTCCTTCCTTTTTTTGGGGCGTTGCCAGTTAGTATTTTCTCAAAGTGCGCGTCGGTTGATCTTTTGTTCGGGGTCGGAAAATTCAATTAAACTAATTCAATTGCCAATAAAGTGCCCGAAAAAGTTTATTACATTGCGAGTGAATTGCTTTGCTGCAAGTCAACTAACATTTTAGATTGCGGGGCCCTTTCGATCGCATATTTACTATTTGCAGATTTGGCGGCCATCTTTGTCCGCGTTACGTCACTGCCTGCGTCGACTTCTCTGCCAGCGTCAGCACTTTACTTTCCGACAACGATGATTAAAAATCAGTTGTATTTTCAGTAAGTACTCATAATTTAATTTTCCTTCGTTTAAATTTTGCCGAACATTGTAAAACATCTTAATTGTGAAAATATTTGCTATTTATTTTTGAAACATATTCAAATTTCGTTGTATTGGCTGTGACTAAGATTTTGAGCTTGAAATTAAGCTTGGACAAACTAAACTATCATTTCCAATTTAGATATGCTACTGACTGACTCCGAAAGGAAAATAGAAAGCCCCAGCTGAGATATCGATTATTTTAATCCCCAATTGCAATAATGAAATTGTTTATTATGACCGGGAAAAGTGTAGCCTTTGTAAAGTGAGAGATAAATCAAGGGGATAACGACGATAAAGAGCCTCTTTTCGCTGGGGATTCGCCAGTTTTCGCTTCGCTACACACTAAAAAAAAAGGCGATGCGATCCGAAATCGGGAAGTTTCATGGGGCGGAAGGGACTATAGGTAATCATTTGGGGACTTGGGTTGTGGAGCACATCGATAAGGATAACTAGTTTCGCAGCCTGCTGCTTGCCGCTTGCCGCTTGCGACCTAAGTGATTACAGTTTATGAGTTATTGTAAGGCAGCGGACACATGGCACTACCATCAGATATTATTTACTTTAATCTGCTGCATCGGCCAGGGCTTAATTGCAAAAGGGGAAAAAGTTGCCGCGCTGCCTTGTCACGCATGCGGCACACTTTTGCGCCCGAAAACTGTGTAATTTGTAGCAATTTAGCTTGAAAGCCAACTTGCAACAGTCGAGGGAATAAATACGTATGATAACAACCAGCGGGGAAACTGGGTCAAAGTTTTATAGTCAGTTTTTTTTTTCTGTTTTTTCTTTTTTTGAATTGGCTGAGAGATCGTCATAAATGAAAATGACGCCGATCCATGGGATCGTCCGCTCCCAGTTTTAAATTCGGTCTTCTGGTGTGGTGCCACAATAAAAATTTAGTTTAATGAAAGTGTTTTCGGTTGCAGCGATATTTCGATGGCTTGATTGCCTCCGTTGGATTATGATAAAATGCATGGGCCATCACTGCACAGGAAAAAATTAAAGCAGACGTTTTATACTCATCAAAAAAAAGTAAAAGTATAGGTACAAAGGAAAGCTAACATTGTCTAACTTTTCTCGTTGATGTTGTACAATATTTATAGTCCTAAGACTTGTTAATAATCTTTAAATAATTTGATTTGACCAGTGTGAGGATATTACGGGATGAGCTGCCGTGAAGCGCGTTGAAAGTGCATTCCAGCAACGATTTAGTTAAGCAAAATTACGGCAGACTTTACCCTTGCCATTTATGGCATAATTTTGACTCATCAGCGAGGACAGATATATAACTATGGAACGTCGGAGCAATCATCATCAACAGTAGCTGGCCGAAGGACATGCAACAGGATGCAGATTAAATGGAAAGTTAATCAATTAAAATCGTTTAACCGGATCACAGCCCAAAACCAAATCCAAAGCCCTTTCGCAAGATCGCCACACGCCCACTTAATCGGATCCTCGTTAACTGGTATCCACAACTGGTCATCTCGATTGCCATGCCATCCCCTTCGGTTAAGTGACTTAATTAGCATGCCAAGATGCATCCTAAAGAGGCACCCCCCCGCCCGAGATCGAATCAATCAAAAATGCAAAACTTCGTAAACCGTAAACCGAAAACCGAAAACCGATGAATTCAGTTTTGGCTACCAAATCGCTTACAAAGTATTAATCGAAACTTTCTTTCCACTTGGATGATGGGAAAGTTCGCCGGCAATTTGCAGGCAGGACCAAAGGCCGAAGGAAAACCGGGTGATGGATATGAAGGTGGCACCCGGCATTATGAGCGAGCTAATTGAAATATTCTTAATCAGATTCCCTTAGCGTACGCGATCTGATGATGAGGCCCCGCGATGCATTTAATCCGCAATTACCAGCCGAACGAATGAACGAACGAGCCAGTGGCCAGTGGCCACGGTTCAATTTAGCGTTAACTAAAAATAAATCCCAATCCCCGAGATCTCTGGCAAGTGTGCGCCTCGTTAAAAGGGACCAGCTTCCTTAGCGCTTAACAAGGTGGGCGCGTCTGCTTAAGCTGGAAGTCCAAAGCCCCAAAGAAAGTTCGGTTTAATTTCTTTGGACCCAGAGAAAAAAAAGTTGATACGATGCGATCCAAAGTTTGCTGTACTAAACACAGGAGCTTAGCATTCAAAAATGCTCACAGAACTGAAACTTGATTTAGTTAAATTAATTCAGCTTGTAGACAAGTATGCTCTAAGTAATCTTCTCTATGTGTAAAAAAAATTGGTATAATTTTTTGATTATGTAAGGAGCTAAAAGATGAGGGATACAACACATTCGCATAAGCAATGTCTGTATTGATTAAGTGAAATTTTTTGTTTCTGTGCAACCAGTCGAAAGAGTACTTGATTTT